ACATGTGAATTTCTTTTGTAGTTTCTGATTCTTGTGTGAGACTCAAGCCTTCAAGTTTAGGTCTGCTTCTTTTTGTGAACTTTATGTGTCTTTGTGGTTACTTTTTGGGCATGAAAGGCTGGTTTCTCTAAGGCTCCAGTTCTCTCTTTTGATTTTATATTGGAGTGGCCGGATTGCTTTTGTCTTCAGGAGTTCCCACAGAGGCCCAAGTCAGATGAGGATCTGATGCTCTCAGGCTTCCTCCTAAGGTCTGAATCCCTCCAGGAAAGATTTTGGCCTCAGGAATTTGGGGGTTGGACTGGCCTGGGAGCAGGGCCCAGGAAAGATGCTGGTCTAGGGCAGCTGGTGGCCCGTGCCACCCAGAGATACAAGGGGAGATGGGGGCAGGAAGAGGCCCCAAGGGCTCCTAGGGACTGCAATGAGGAACTGGGTTCGTCTGGATGCAAAGGATCAGGAAGTGGAAAGGTCAGCCCTGGAGTCCAGGAAAGAGGCTGGCGGGTTGTGCAGCCCAGGGAAGCAGAGGGAGGTGAGGGCCGGGCCAGGCCTAGAGGGCTCCTGGGGACCCCAGAAGGAACTGGGTTGGTCTGGATGCAAAGTATCAGGAAGCAGTGGTGGTTTCCCTGGTGTCTGGAGTGCCAAGACCAGGAATGGGACAGGACCCGGACCCGGAGAGAGGCCTGCGGGTCATGCAGGCCCAGGGAAGCAGAGGCATAGCTAAGATTTTTAGAAGAATTTTCTACATTTAATATCTTTTTAACGTTTTATTAACATACATTAAGTATAAGGAAGAGTTTCATTATGGCATTTCTGTATATGCTTAAAATGTACTTTGATCATGTTCATCCCCTCTATTATTTTCACCTCTCTCCATTCCACATGTTTGAGACAACATGCAACATTTGTCTTTGTGGGAGTGACTTATTTTGCATAACCTGACATCTCCATTTCTAACCATTTTCCTGTAAATGACATATTTTCATTCTTCTTTACATCTGAATGTGTGTGTGTGTGTGTGTATGTGTGTGACAATTTCTTTATCCAGTCCCCTGTTAGTGAACACCTAGGCTAATTTTATAACTTAATAGTGCAGCAGCAAACACATATCTGAAACTATCACTGTGGTATACTGACTTAGATTCTTTTGCGTATATTCTCAGGAGTGATACAACTGGATCACATACTAGTTCTATTCTCAGTTTTTTGAAGAGCCTCCATAATGATTTCCCCAGTGCCTGCACTAACTCAACAGTGTATGAGGGTTCCTTTTTCACTGAATCTTCACCAGCATCCTCACCAGCATTTGTTGTTTTCTTGATAGTTATTCTGATCTGAGTGAAAAGGAATCTCAATATATTTTGTTTTGCTTTATTTTTTTCACTTTTTTATTGAACTTTTTAAATTTCATACATTTCCCCCTCAAATCCAGACCCCGTCCCCAATCCATGCCTACCCTATCCCCCCACTGAACCCTATGCACTCTGCCATACATACTGAGTCCTATTCATTCAGGTGTTTGTTCCCAAATGTCCTTCAGTGTAAATGAGTCCACTGGAGTCTAGTTTTGTTTTTTGATACAGGGTCTTCCTATAATGCCAGCTAGCCTGCAACTTGCTATGTAGATCAAGCCAGCCTCGATTTTACAGAGATCTGCTTGCTTCTGCCTCCCACGTGCTGAGATTAAAGGCATGCATGACCATAACTGGCCTTTTTTTACTTTTGGGGGGCATATTTTTTAAATAAAAGTTTTATTGGTATATATA